CAGTCGTTACAAATGAATTCAAATAACAAAAATAAAAGATTACAACTTTCTTGAAAATAAACGCAAGATCTGTTTATCGGCTCTTGCTTGCGTAGGTTCTTTGCCTGTGCCAGGGATTTTGATATCCGTGGACCGCCTTTAATCTGGATCCGGTTGATGGAAAATTCACTGAATCGCGAATTCGTAGTCCTTGATAAACTCAATCCATCTCCTCTGTCTCTGGTTGAGTTCCTTCTTGGAAAAGAGATACTTCAGACTCTGATGATCTGTGAATAACTCAAACTGCACTCCATACAAGTAGTGTCTCCATGACTTGAATGCAAATACCACTGCCGCCAACTCCAAGTCATGAGTGGGATAGTTCTGCTCATGCACCCTCAACTGCCGTGAGATATAAGCTACTACCCTCTGAGTCTGCATCAATACCCCCCCAAACCGGCCAACGACGCATCAGTATACATGACAAAGGTCCTATCGCTGCTCGGAATGGTCAAAACCGGCGCCGTGGTCAGCTTGGCTTTCAAGATATCAAAAGCCTCCTGGCACTCCTTACTCCATATGAACTGTATACCCTTCTTCGTAAGGTGTGTAATCGGTGTCGAAATCTTCGAGAAGTCCTGAATGAACTTCCTGTAGTAACCAGCCAAACCCAAAAAGCTGCGAATCTCTGTCACCGTCTTCGGTGGCTCCCAATCAAGAACTGCCGTGACCTTAGCCGGGTCCACTGCTATCCCCTCTCTACTGATAACATGGCCAAGAAATCTGACTTCTGAAAGCCAAAACTCACACTTGCTGAACTTAGCATACAGCTGATGCTCCTGAAGAGTCCTCAATGCTATCCGTAGATGCTCCTCATGATCCGCCTCCGACCTCGAGTAAATGAGAATATCATCGATGAAAACAATCACGAACTTCGCCGAGGAAGTATTTGATTTGAAGCGCTGAGATCGACCAAGCGAAATCAGTAGCTCTTCTCGAGATTAAGACAAAGCCTAATCTCAAGGAACGGACGGGAACGGGCGTCGGATCTCTCGAACTCTCCTTCTTTATACCGAAGAACTCGCCAAGATCTGTCAAGCCTCGCTGAAATTCGTGCTCCTTTGACTCCTCAATCCGGCAGCACCTCCTCCTCTTGATAATTAATCCCCCTGCTGAAAGGAGGCACTAGGTTTGTATTTATAGAGCTCCGGATGCAGGTTTTGGGATAAGAATGATGGATTTCTCCTTATCTTCAGTTAATAGTTGATTAACCATGTTTAAAGATAGGATTTAGGTAGTTAGGAACCTCTGGAACTGAAAAGATCTCGTGAAAACCCATCGAAACCGTAAAAAAATGGGTTTTCGGGTCAAAACAGCGCGACGGGTCGCGCTGACCCGCAGGGGCGCGGGTCGGCCTTGGCCGACCCG